CTCTGCCATCCTGTCAGGGTGGGTACGGAAGGCTGAGGTGCTGTAGTGGTAGTGGTGGGTATTGCTGTAGTGGTAGTGGTGGGTATTGCAGTTGTTTCATTTTCAGATCCTGGCACACTTCCGGTCACTGATCCATTTCCGTCCCCTCCACTTCCTGACCCAGAACCACCACCGTCCCCGCTGGGGTCAGTTGGACCACCTGCTTCAGAGATAAAGATTTTAGTCATCTGATATCAAGATACTAAAATATTATGGAAGAAGCGCAGTTGTCTGGATTACATGAAGTATTCCTAATGGCATCACTGATATTTACGTGATGTCATATAGTACGTAAACGATGCAATATTTGTATGGTACTGAAATACAGTAATTCCTGCTAAATCACGACCGAAACAAAAGCAGAAAACGAGACACAAGGTTCACAATGAGGCCATGGTTTAACCCAGCAGCCTGCTTCATGAACTTCGCTCGAATCATTCAGAAAAAACGGTGAGTTTTTTGGTAGTATTAACACTGTATAAAACCATGATCAAAGCGCTTCACATTTAAACGTAACATACTTCTCTCTCTTTCTCTCTCTCTCTGTGCGTGTGTGTGTGTGCGTGTGTATGTGCGTGTGTGTGTGTGCAAAGTCCATTCCGAAGATGGAGTAGAAAATGTGTTCCCCCTTTTTTCTTATTTTACCTACATTTAGACAATGCTTCATACACTTTGTGTAAACGCTCATTATCTAAGATGTACAATTCCTACTGAAGATGCAATACACTGATTTATTTATTTCTCCTTTTGTCTTTCTACTTCAAATTTCAACTTATCATAACGAATACTGCATATAGAAAATCCCCCACCCTCAACTCCCACCAAGACATTCTGGACACTTTTTGACCGGCATACTTGTTAAGAAGAAGAATTTGGTACAACGGATGAATAATGTAATAATTCTTACCAACAACAAAAGCAATGATGGGATCATCGTTGCTGTTGATAACAATATGGGCTCTTCCACTGCCATCGACAGTGATCTTCTGGGCACAGTCAGTGATAAGGTCACAATATACTCCAGCAGGCAAACCTGTATCCAAGGTAGCATCCATGTGTCCGCTCTTGGCCATTGCAAAGAAGCCTTTGTTGCCTCTGGCGAATGACACCTGGTCGTTTTCATTATGCCATTTCCTCTTGTCTGTTCCCGCAACAGCATTTCTAAAAGCTGCCATATTGGCAATAGCCCTCCATCTGTGTTCGCAGATCCACCCGTTTCCACAAGAGCCATCACTGTTGATGGGAACGTTTTTTGTCGTGAAATCAGCGTTGTGTGGAGGACCAAGACTTGAATCGTCTCCAAACTCATAACTGCTCATAACACGCGTGAAACCGTAGTCATATGCGAGTGTGAATGCGACAGCCATTTTATAATCTCTTGGAGTTTTATGGGTTAATAGGTTTCCACCGCCCCCATGGCCTCTTTGGTTGTCATGGTTGTCGACAAAGACAAATGCTTGAGACGATGGTGTCATGTGCCAGCCGTAATCTACAACATTGTTTAAATCTCCGAAATTGCGAATGCCCCATGCGATCTTCTGACAGTATCTAAATTCAGTAACATAGCCCAGAGCAGTATACTCTGCTGTTGTGATTGCGCCATCATTTTGATCTATAACCTCGTGGTAGAAGAACGGCCGTCCTCCCTCAGGGAGATCTTTTAGCTTGTTTTGAATGGAGGTAATGTCCTTCGGCCACATATGTTTGGCGGCATCAATACGGAAACCAGCCACACCGATGTCTATTAGGTGATTGAAGAAGGCTGCAATCATGTTCTGGACATAATCTTGGCTATGATCGAGGTCCGTTAAACCAACTAAGTTGCAGTTTCTTACATTGCTCGGGTCACCGTAGTTATTAACATTGCCGTCATGTGACGGGCATCTGGCTCTGGTATTGAAATGTTGGCGGCTGAATGGGACCCCCGGGAAATCATAGTTATCCGAGTTGAAGATGCTTCCAGCTGTCCCCGTACCAGTTCTGCCGAGGCCAGCCATATGGTTGACCACAGCGTCCACAAAGACCCTGTCGATGACAAATTAATTTAATTAATGAAATAATATTGGTTGTTATCCAGACATTTCAAGGATATCAATCACGTTCACTCTGTCTGTCTGTTGGAAGTGTCAGAATTTTACACAACAATAGAATACAATTTTGATTGGTATGTTTTATGTTTCTATTAAGATGAACGAACTATACGCTTGGAAATAGTTGTTATGATAAGCGCTGCACATACCGGACACCCACTTTCTTGCATCGTTGCACCATGTCAATGAATTCAGCCTCGTTACCGCTCCTGCTGGTCAGCTTGTAACTGACTGGTTGATATCGTTCCCACCAAGGTCTGGGATAGTCCTTGGTTACCATCACATGTTCGTTTACAGGAGAGACCTGAAAAAATAATAATTTCCTTTTCAGGAAATAAAATCAAGTGTATACGTTGAAATGTGATGTTTATGGACATCGAATTAATGCGTTCTTAAAGGGTTTGTTTAATCCTTATAAGTGTGTACGTTTTGAAGTCAATCGTTGCAGCCATGACCGATGCACTATCAAATGGTTATCATCAGAATATCAGTGTCGTTTATACTTGAATTAACAACAATGAAGGTCATACAAAAAAAAAAAACGCCGAAGATGTTGACTTTGTTGAAAGGTTGAGAACTATGCAATGATAATACCACACATCCATCTACATCTGCCTTATTTGATCATTGCACACTTTCATAATACGTAAGCAAAGGATGATTCTTTATATATTGGATACCTGTACTCCACAATATCCTTTCTTAGCTAGGAATCTTTCACATTCTAATGCAATGTCCGTCCACTTCCATTCAAACAGATGAACGATAACTTGCTTCCCGTTACAGTGAGGGTCTGTGTACACGCCAAATCCGGGCACTATATGAGAAGAAAGAGATACACAGAAAAAAGGAAGAAAGAAATGAAATAAAAATAAAATTCTTATTCTTCATTAAAGGCGAAAGCATCTTTGAGCTTCGATCTAGTGTAAATATTGTTGAAATTTTGCTGGAACTTCAAAAGCGGGCTGATCTGAATTAACCAAAAGTTTCATTTCCATAACATAGATTCTAAAAGAAATTAACCCTTGATTGCTTTATAGTTCTGTAATTCATATGCATTTGTCAGGAGCATGGAAGTCAATCTTCAGGACCAGCTTGTTGTTTTTGTGACGAGCATTTTTGCTATGAAACTATATCTGGTGTCCAGAAAGAGCAAGGACAGAGGGAATAGAAACGGAAAAGACAGAAGTGAGATTAATAAATATTTGCTGCTAGTGTTGTTCACGAAGGGTATCATAAGTGAAAAGAGTATTGGTTTAGATTATGTTATTTTCCGGAATATTTTGTGCTGGATTCTGTTTTATTTATTTTGATTTTCTTTCGCTGTGTTTTCTGCAGGGTTTAGTTTGTACGGATTGGCAACGTGTGAGGGTCATTCATGGAGATGAAGTCACTGAGCTTTGACAAAATAATAACACGGAAAACTTCCCCACCACTATCACAACAATCAACATACTATCTGATCCGACGATAGAATTCGTCAGTTTGTTTCCAAGTCCAGCATGCTCATTTCCATGATGCCATAATTTCTTGCTATAAAGAATTTATTTTTATTATTGTTGTTTGTTTAATTTATTTTAAAAGAGTTAATGTTGAGGAAATGTGAGTTAAAGAGAATTCAGTCCGCTTGCTCTTTGCAAGTCATCGTGTTTGCAATAAAATACATAACCTCAGGCATTTGTGTAGGGTAGATTTCCTCGTTAAATAATGTCTCCTACGCGTAATTCATTCAATGTGATCTTCTGGAAAAACACTCTTTCCTATAAATATGTAATTTCAGAAATCCAGCTTAAATAAAACAATTACGATAACACAACAATGACAGAATCCAAAATTAAAAACCGTTATAGGATCGGGCATTTGTAAAAAAAAAAAAAACAACAACCCAACAAGAAAACAAATAGTGTGCAGTTGTGGTGAAAATAATGTGGTGATAATTGCAATATTGAAATGAACTCTTATGATCTTAGTGAATAAATTATAAGTATTCGTTTATCCAAAAATATAATGTACAACGTTTATCAATTATTTGTTTCGAGTTTGAGAGGTTAATAATGGTAAAAGAGAAAGGTGACTATCTGGATAGGTAAACTCAGAATGGTTAATTCTTTGTCAGAAAATGGGACAACTTGATTATATATGCCCTCATATAACGGAAAATCGTACACGTTTAGTTACTGTTTACACTATCGTAAGCAATTAAATCACTTTTAGATACATCTAATGATAAGACAAAACAAAAATAACCTGTCATAGGATTGGCAAGTTAGAGACATCTTTAACAGTCCACTATGTATCACGTGTTAAGTAAAGAATCTGATTCTATTTCAGGACATGAGATTATTTAAGATTCAATCGTTCAGGGTCAAATACAAAAAAATAAAAACTAAAAAAACAAGTAACAAAATATCAACCTTTCAAAATACAACTGTGGATAAATTATTGCATCCAATAAACATATTATTTTACAATTATAAAAGTTTAGTAAAAAAAAAGTGAAGAGTAAAATGAATTATAACTCAACAAGTTATTGTAAAAACCGTTTAAATCTGAACTTAAAACATTTTGTTTTAAATGTTTTTAAAATAATTTTTCTGTCACTTACAAGCGAATTGAAACCAAATATTTGATGTGATGTGATTATGATTTTTTAACGTAGCTTTAAAACTTTTTCAGTCATATCGCTACGATGTTTGCAATGTGGCAGTTTATAGTGATGTCTAGCACTGGGGCATCATGCCGCAGACTTGTAGCATGATGTCCCACCCAGTCACATTATCCTGACACCAGGCCTACCAGTCTTAACACTAAACTCTTAATGCTGAGTGTCAAGCGAGACAGCTGCTAGTACCATTTTGTAAGTATTTGGTATGACTCGAGCAGGGATAGAATCCACTACCTCCCGCATTTGAGGCGGACGCTTTAACAACTAAGCCACCGGTGCCCTTACCAAATATTTGATAACTATACAGTTACATGTAAGCACTAGTGAATAGAGACTGGAATGACAGTATGTCTTTATATATATATATATATATATATATATATATATATATATATATATATATATATATATATATATATATATATATATATATATATATATATATATATATATATATATATATACAGAGAGAGAGAGAGAGCGAGAGAGAGAGAGAGAATGGTAATGGAATGATTTTTTTTAAAATCAATCAAATTAAATTTTAAATTGAAATGCAACTCTTATTAAAGTTTTTAATACTCATCATCCCTACTGGGATACATTCCTTTTCTCATGACCTATATAAAAGTATCTCTGTACATCGTTATATTTTTTTAATTGATAATCATAGCTGGAAGTCACTACTGTTTTTTTTCTCAAAACAAAACAAAACAAATAAATATACATTCACAATGAATTCTTATTTGGATCTATTTGTGGCATTTCTGGCAAAGACATTTCCCTGTTTCCATTTTTTTTAACTACTCAGAATGCAAAGACCCTTGGCCACTAAATTCTAGTCTTGTTCATTGCGATTAAATTCCGAATCCAGTAAAACGAACTATTTTACATATTACAAACAAAGGTAAAACGCTTTCTATTTATTTTATTAATTTGTGAACATGTCATAGTCTAAAATCCTTATTTTCATATTTCTTTTTAAATATGAATAATTTTCTTGTCTTGTAATACTATCAACTCATCACACACGGAAAATTCAGTTTGCAGATGGATTATACGCATGCGTATGTACCCTGAATAGAAAACTGAATTGTCATCATATTAATTTTATTCAAAACTGTTCGTCAATAAAGCAGCAAATTAAGAATAATGTAGCAAGACATTTTCAGTCATTTCGTCTTGATCACCTGAAATATACAGGTGACATTTCAGATGTCAGCTACTGACATTGGACATCCATGACTTGTGAACAATTACCAACACTTATTTTCCATATACTAGAAATTAAACATGATATACATTTTAGAGGTATGAACATTTTGTTTCAGTTCATCTCAGATGTTCTCCGTTGTGTTTCATTTTGTAATGTCCAGAGAAGACGAACAGGAATGTGTGTAACCCTTCTACTATTAGCCACTTTTTTATCATAACTTATTTTGACATTCTACGTCATGCATGTTAATGAGTACGTGCGCCTGTATGTATGTATGTATGTATGTATGTATGTATGTATGTATGTATGTATGTATGTATGTATGTATGTATGTATGTATGTATGTATGTATGTATGTATGTATGTATGTATATGTGTGTGTGTGTGAGAGAGAGAGAGAGAGAGAGAGAGAGAGAGAGAGAGAGAGAGAGAGAGAGAGAGAGAGAGAGAGAGAGAGAGAGAGAGAGAGAGAGAGAGAGAGAGAGAGAGAGAGAGAGATTGTGTGATCACACGCAGAATTTTATTCATTATAAATTGTACACCTAAATACCTGCAATCCATGCTAGGATGAAACACAAAATGGCACAAATGTACATGTTTCTGTCAGGTGTCCGGTCACATCTCTGCAATGGATGACCCACGTTCACCGTTCTCTATCGAGAAAGGCGTGTTAAACAAATTCTTATCTTTGAATGCTCTTGAAAAGTCATTTAAATGCAAGGTCATCAATACGACAAACCTTACATTACAATCTCTAGTTAATCCCTCAGGAACGGGACAAGACTGTTAATGGGATAATATTGATAAGGTGTGTTCCACATTGTTCAATGTTTGGAATTTTGGGAATTTATGAAAGATAACAATCTCTTTAAATTGAACAAATGGCCAGAAAATGAAATTGTCTTACGGATTGACCATTTATTCTTTTTAATTCAGCGTAATATAACAAAAATTCTGCAGTGCAAACTGAGCAATCCGCGTTGGCTGGAAAGTGGGCAATCCGTTATCATGCATCAGAGTCGTAACAGTGAAGGAATATACATACAAAATAATATAAGAAGTAGTGGACTACAATTTTAATAAATACAAAAATGTGATTTAAAAAGAAAATCTTGTTATATCTCTCTACTCTATTCATTTTTCCTTTATATACTGGCCATGAATACATGCAAAGTAACGATATTATGCTTGATAGAGTTTGATAACGATTTTATGTAAATTCTGTATATAACATAATTAAAGACACGCCGATTTGATATAAAATCTAGAGTTGAATTTAGTTAAGCTAAGGCTTTCAGCTGAATGCTAATTTGGTGAAAATAAACTCATAAAAATAATTCCCCATTCAACACTTATGTCTTAATCTGTGCATGCATACTGGGAGGGAAGTAGCGGCTAAAATCAGCCTATAACACTCCAGATTTCTATCAATTTATCCCAATTCATGTCTAGTGTTTAAATACCACCTAACTTATCGGGTTAAATCAACCACAAAAATAAAACGTAGAGTTTACTTCCTTCAGATATCGCTACAGTTTCGTAATTTGCATAGGGTTTGGTATTTAAAGAAAACGAATTTCCTGATTTTCTGTACTGATAATATATTACAAAGAAAATATTGTATATCTTATTATTAAAATAATTTTAAATTCTTTTCCTTTGTTATGTGATGTATAGCTGTAATTTGGGTTGGAGAGTATATTGTTACAACCCTGTCTCAAACTATATAACAGACAGAATGGATACTCGAAAACATCAAATTTAGTAAAATAATTTTATTAATTTCTCTAAGTTATAATGTGAAAATTTAAGAGGAAATTAGAGTATTGCAAATTAATACTCAAAATAATCATAAATGTTCTATCACAAATCCAAACGTAAAGACTGTTTCGAATGAATTCCAATAGTTTTGATGTATCATAATGACATAATCAAGAATGTATCTGAATGAGTCTTAAATAAGCCCAAGTAGCCTTAGAGTAGGATAGAACTTACCATGTGTATCTGATGGATGCCGCCCAAGTACGCTGCCATTGATGCTGATGACATCTGCTAAACACTGAAACAGGGAAACAACCCAATCCTGAGCAGCCCTGGTCAATGACCCAAGCAATCCTGGCTATCGCTTCCCAAGCGTGGCTGGTGTCAGATATCTGCAACGACATCACTAACCAGCTCTGACGGGCATGTAGCGGACTTGTCCGTTATAAAAAAAAAAAACATGAAGAGGGTACGTATGAACCAATACTACATTCTCGTCAAACGCCTAAGACTGGTTCTGAAGGTTTGTCGCGCTAAATCGTTTCTTCCTCCTCAAAGAAATCAACAGATTCTTTAGAACAGCTATAAGGGTGGTGACATAATGAAGTAGACAACACCCGAGTAAAAAAGAAATGGTCCTAGACGGCGGCTTTAAAGATAACACCAGTCCATTCCATGGCGGATTTGAAGGAGTTCCGCCGCACACATTCTGCGTCGAGACCTAACTGGGTCTATTTGCAGTGCTAGAACAACATTGCAGATGGTAAGAAGAATCAGTTCTCCATTCTCAGTAAAACTTCATTAACTCTCCTTGGTGGACAAGTAGTGAACATACTTAAGTCCAGCACTGCCGGCCGGTTTGCCCGGCGAATGGTTGGTTTGGAAGCTGGCGGTATAGAAAAACGACCCGGCTATCACCGGTAACTGTCGCTCCAAAGGCCTATCTGACAGACATGTTTCTCATTGAATTCTGTCACTGAAAGAACACAAGACAGTATGTTGGATGGAAGGATATGTCACTAAGATCCTCGTAATCATAGTTGACTGGTTCCCAGGTTGACAAAGCTGAACAGCTGGCGATGGTAAGGTTTTAATATGCATTAGATGCAATCGATCGGGTGTGAATGGCGTGTGGTCGACCGGATGATGACGGTATACAAACGGTCTGGCAATCACCGGTATCGGCCGCGCCTGGTTGAACGGACAGATTTCTTATTGAAATCTCCAATATAGCAATGATAAGATACCGACGGCGTGGCTAGACGGACGGAATTATCAGTAAAATCCCCGTATGAACTATTTGGCTGCACCATTTCAATGCAAAGGACCCCATGCTGAGACGGCTTGATTGCTGGTGTTGGCTGGATTGCCGATGTCGGCTGGACGGTTGACGATGTTGGGACGGCCGCTAACGGTACGGCAGTATTAAGAATTTGATCAAACGGATCCGGCATGAACCCCATGTGCCCGAATTTAAGGCCTGAAGGCCGTGCACTGACACGCGGAGGGACTTACGCCTCCTGGGTTTCCCCAAACTGGGCAATACTCCGCAATGGGTTGATATCGCCAACAACGAACCTTGATTTAATCAGTCTTTCCTTCCATTCAATGCAGTACTGATGATCGCTGTTAATGTGCATTTCATGCATATAATAAAACTCTTGCCTAAAAAGCCACAAGATGAGAAAACAAGGCATAGATTTTGCAAATTAGTATGTGCCTAACAAGCTAATAGTATAAACTGCCATTCATTATATGACAAATTACCTAACACCGAAGCCAAGACTTCAATTGACTATGTATTATATACTCTGCATATTAGAGTGTATATATAGCATAAGCAAAACAATGGTCATTGTACACTTCCTTGCTCTGAACTTGCATGTAGATTATTTCAATCGATATTCTGCTAAAACGACACAAAGAACACACTCTAAACCAGAAACTAGTAATGTGTTGAAATTACTAGGTCACTAAAATACTGTCGCCACAAAAGTGTAGTATCAGAAACCTATAACCCTGTTGTAAACTTATACACATTGCTTAGTTAATAATGAAATCAGAATTTTATCAAAACCAGCATAAAATATGAATAAACTATGCATAAGTATCAAGCAGCAATTCAGAATTTCACTAATAAAAGTTTCATAATGGACAGAGTAAGCAAAAAAAAGTCAAAGGTATGCTAACTCATAATGACCTTGTACGAGGTCATGGATGGTGTTGTAGGATGGTGGTCTTACATGACAAAGTCCAAACAAGTGATAAATCACTCAAAAATTGGCAGAAAATGTAAAATAAAGTAA